ATATCCAATCTTTAACCTCCTTCAAAACCCTTGGGGAAATATTATTTGGCCCAGGAGATATGATGTAATCAATGTTCATAGATAATTGGCTATATTTATTAAGTAAACTAATGGTTAAGGTCTGGTCATACATGTGGCTTGTACATTGGTCATTTAGTCTGTGCAAGTTCACAAAATTATATAAAAAAAAATGTATGAAAAGGCAAGATACACTAAGAGAAGGTCTACTGGTCCATTCGGGTCACCCTTCACTCTAAAAAGTGACAACAGTAATCTTTCGTTTCTTAATTCTGCTTAAACATTCGTGTAATTATATAACTGTAAAATAAATCAAACTAACTATCAAAACCACAACGCCAGGTAAACCATTCTATAAGCTTATAATTCTCAATTTAAAAAACAGTGTTGATGAACAAGTCTGTATTTGGGCTTCTTAAGCTAATATTCAAGTTTCGATTTTCAGTCATTTCATTCTTTTTCTCAAACATACAACCCATAAGAAGAATGTTTAAATCAGAATTTCCTGGAATGTGGGTCTGAAGTCAATGAAGGTTTGAATTGGGATTGTAAGCATTGAAAATATTTTATTTTCTGAAAAATTAACAAAAAAGTAGTAATAGATTATACCTTATTACACTTTACCTAATAAGAATAAAATATGACAATTCCTTAAAAAGCATCACATTTTAATACCTCTATAAATTGGAATTTTCTTTACTAGTGAAACATAAAATAAAGGAGAGTAATAGACTGAAAGATGTGGAAAGAACTGAGTAATAAATCTACAACCATGTTTGGGGAAACTGTTTACAAAGTTCGTATCAAATGTGTTAAGACCCTGTTATCCTTCCATTTCTTTCAGCTGACATAACAGAAATTTTATAATTTAGTAATTCATTGTGTTGATTTAACCTCATCCATTTTATTAATGAAGATTATAAAGCCTTATTATTACCATTTACAATTTCTTGATGTAGGCCATAGCGAAGGTGGTCTTTCTAAGCAAAGGGTTGTGCAATGAAAAATTTTAGGAACCACTGGTTTAAACCCTAACAGTTTTTTAAAACACTTGAAATAAGTTCTTTGTAATTATTTTAATTTTATGCTCCATATAAAACAAGTCTAAGATTCTAGAGCCTCTCCTCATTAATCTAGTAGGACTTTAACAAGGAATTATTTTAGTGGTTCTTCTTTGCATATTTTCAAATATGTTGATATCCTTCGTTTAACGAGGAGACCAAACCTACTCAAAGGATCCTGAATGAAATCTCATTAGTGGCCAGTGTGGGTATAAATAACTTTCTGGTAAATTTAAAACGAATGCAGGTAGTTCTCAGAATTACAGCTAAATATTCAGCTTGAAAATCAAGTAACTCCTTTTTTGTCTACAACAATGATGCTTCTTTCATGCAAGATGTAACCCCTTCCAGAATTTACTTATCCCACATATACAACTTTACATTTTTTAAATATTTTCTGCCCGAGAACAAGGTATATAAGTTTCTATAGAAATAAAGCTTTTTCAAAAAGATGTAGTTAGGAGGTAATACCTCATTGACAAACAGTTTTTATGTACGAATAAACTGTTGTTGAAACAAAGTTGAGTCTTTGTCAGGTTCTGTGATCATTTTATTGTGTGATTTTTAAATTGAAGAATCGTGATTGAGATAAAGGGTTGTGGAGCCTATATGTGCCCCTGATGGTTCTTTGATCCTGAAGTGTGTTTGGTTAAGAAATTCAGGAATGCTGAAATTTGATTGGCTAATTTTTGAATACATTAATCCACAAACTACTGTTGAGGACTGTTTTTCTGTTATTAATGTGTGAAGTTTCCTTGATTTTTCTCATTTTGTAGTTGTTGTCATTGTAAAATGATTTTACAGCTGTTACAGTCTCAGTGGCACGTTCATAATAACTAGTGTTTTTGTTTGTAAGGCAAACTGTGTCTTTGTGTTCTTTAAGGCATCATCCTAAATGTATCCCATTTTCTCCAATATATGATTTTCCTCAGTTGCATGAGATTTCATACACAACTGTAGTTGTTAGAAGATCCACATATTCTTTTGTATCAGAAAGTATGTATTTGAAACTTTTCACACATTTTTCAAATATTATAACTGAGTTTTGGAATGAAAGAAATACTTATTCTTGCCCAGGGTTCTGGTTCACAGTTTTTATAGATTATTCGGGGTCTGCAAGCTTGTTCAATATTGCTGTTAGGGCATCCAATGGATCTGAAGACAGTTTTCTTGTGTTTTATTTCAGTTTTTTAAATGACTCTTGTTGTAGGTTTTTATAACTTGGTTAACTAGACGTTACTGGAAAACATGTTTTCATTTGCTTGCAGGTTGTCTATGTATAAGAATTGTTTGTCAAGGAGTAGAAGTTATTACATGTAAAATTGGAAGTTTTGGTAGTAGCAAAACATTTTAGACCATTTTAAGCTTTAAAAATCAGATGCTTACTTGAGTTAGAAATTAATGAAAAATTAACATTAAATTTTTAAAAATACTTTGTACATAAGAAGTTGAAAGTACTTAACAAGACTAAGAAATAAGAAAGTTTTTATAGAAGTTAAAAATTTCACAATGTGTTTGACAGCAAAATTTTTTTATTAACTTGTTCTTAGCATCAAATGGAATGACAGCAAAAAGAAAAAATATTACATTTCTTTTACTTAAATTACCAGTATTGACAAGCTAGAATATAACTTGTAACTTCTGTATTGTTAGCCAGGCATGGCTGAAAATTCAATATAATAAAAATAATATATATATATATATATAAATGTTATGAGATTTTAGCCATTTAGTCTAAACATTTATGTTTTCATGTTATAATTTGTTATCCTTCTAGAATGAAAGAGGCATAACTTATATTCCTAATTTTTTATGGTGGTTACAAGATCGGTCATATCTATCTACTGAACCCGTACAGAGGTTCATTAGTAAAAGTAACAGATGAAATATAAAGTTTTTTCTTAAGAAACATTTGATAAATATCTGGACATTATAAAGATTTTTCATGTGTAATTTTAAAATTTTCTGATGCATAAAAGTATTTTAATCTTAAAATGAAAATTACTTTGCATGTTGGATAGGCAACATGCGAAAAGAAAAATATGGTATGCAAAAAACATTGCTTAACAAACCTTTTTTGCATATGAAAGCATTGTAATGTTTACTGATAATCTGTCAAATTTCTTTAACTTATACTTACTAATTTAAAAGTTATAACATCAAAACTATAACAAGCACAAAATAGTTACAAGATCAGTCCCAGGGACTGAACCTGTGCTGAAAGAGTTAATTAATGCAGGTTGGCCTTAACAGCAAAACATTATGATTTTACATTTATTGTAATTAAATTGTGTTTATATTGTTAACTGAACCATCAGGTTGCTGTGATTCTTTCCTCTAAAATTCTTTAAAAGTTTTGAAACTTCATTCAGTCACCTTTTTTATGGTTTCTTTTTACTTATTTTGCCTCACTCTCTTAACCTAAGTATTATTTACAAAGTATTTTAAACATCTGTTTGAATCGTAAGGATATTTTATGATTTCCGTAAGGATGTCTTGTCAGTTTGCAATGTTTAAAAAGTACCTGCAGTGATAAGCCACACTAAAATATAAAACAATACCCTAATGTAATGTAACATTAATTTCTTGCATCCTAGAAATATTTTTCCTATTTCTTGCCAGTAAGTAAAGTTGTTTTATAGATTTGTTTAGCTTGTGTCTCTGTGTAATTAAGTTTGGTAAAGTACATATTTATTTTGATACATGAAACTGTTATTGATTTTTATTTCAACAGCCTTACAACTGAACGGTTAATTGAAGAATCAGGAAGTTGTCTCGACCATCCACTAACAGAAAAGTTTCAGACTCATGTGATGAATGGGGAATGGTTAAAGGTATTTAAAGTTGTCAACAATAAGTAGGAACAAAGTATTTTTTCTGTCTATCATTATCATTAACTTACTGCGTAAGGTTTTAATTTCATTTTGAAGATTTTATTTTATTTATTCTTTTTTCAGAAATGCTACTTATCTTTGTGCACAAAGTAATAGCTGTTCATTGTGCAGACAGATGATTATCTATCTAAAATACATTTTCAGCTAAGAAAATGATAATTTTTTGTTATAAATAAACAATTTCTCTTTGAACTTGTAGCATTTATAGAGTCGTAATTTCTCTACTGTTAGTTCTTTTAATTAAGAAAATCAACAAAGTTTATTTCATACAAAATATCACACAACATTGTAGTTTTAACTTATTCTCTTTTTAATGTTATTAATACATTTTAAAGCCAGAATTAACTGTTGGTACATATATATTTTGTATCTGTATAACTTTTGTATGCTATGAATATATTGGTTTGGAGAAAAGGTGTAATTTCTTTGAGACAGCTTCTGGAATGTTTAATACCATATAATTTAAGGACAGCAATGGACCTATTGGTCCATCTAGGTTGTCCCATCTTCTAAACTAAACTTTAAAGAAAGAAAGAAAACAATCAAAACAACCCTTTTCATTCAAGTATTTATCAAACCTTCTCTTAAAATCTCTTAAATTAACTGAATCCACTACATCTGAAGGCAACCTATTCCAAAGGCCGACAACACTGTTAGAAAAGTATAGCTTTCTTGGATGTATATGACATATATTTTGTCAAAATTTATACTTATGTCACCAAGTCCTACCTTTCTCACCATTAAGCACAAAATATAATATGATGCATCAACACTATCAATTCCCTTAACAATCATAAACACCTAAATCAGTTCCCCTCTAACTCTTCTTTTTTTTTAAGAGAAAACAACTTCAGATATCTTAATCTGTCCTAGTATGACAACCTTTCCATCCAAAGTGTAATTTCAGTGGCCATTCTTTGAACCCTTTCCAACAGTTCAATGTCCTTCCTAAGGTAAGGCACCCAAGACTGAACATAGTACTCCAATGCCCTATAGAATGAAATTATAACCTCTTAAATCTATGGATATGTACTGTTTCTTATCAGTACATTAATCTATGGATATGTACTGTTTCTTCTTATCAGTACATTAATCTATGGATATGTACTGTTTCTTCTTATCAG